TATATAAACCCTTCCTTGACCCTCCACAACAACAAACTAATACTATATTTGTCCTTCTGTGATTGACTTATTTCACTCAGTATAGTGTCCTCCAAGTTCATCCATATTATGCAGTGTTTTGCAGACTCTACATTATTCTTTAGTGCTGCATAGCATTCCAGTATGTGTATGTACCATAGTTGAGTCATCCACTCTTCCACTGATGGTCACGTAGGTTGTTTCCATCTTTTAGCTATTGTAAATAATTCAGCATGACGTTTTTAAGGTTTGTCCATGTTGTAGCATGTATCAGAATTTAAGTTTTCTTTATGGCTAGTAGTGTAGTGCCTAAGGCATTTGACTGCTAACCAGAAGACTGGTTCCACTCCTTGGAAGGAAGATTGAGCAATCTACTTCCGTAGAGATACCACCTGAGAAACCCAAGGAAGGGTCCCTATGAGTCAGATCCGACTCGATGGCAGTGAATTTTTTTTTTTTTTGGCTGAGTAATATTTCCTTTTATATACCATATTTTGTTTATCCATCTATTACTTGGGTTGTTCTCATGTTTTGGCTATTAAGCAAAATGCTTTTGAGGTTGTCAGTAGTTCATGGAGCTCTTCATTTTATACTTTCTCCAAGAGTCTGGTGGGTCTGCCATTCTGAGCACAGACCCTGGGATGGTGGTGTCTGTTTAGAGCTGTGTTTGGGGCCCTGGTGCTCTCTGACCACTTTGCTGTCTCCTCTGTGGCTCTTCCCATCGCCCGCTTGGCACTTTGCTCAGTGGCTGCTCTTTCCCACAGAGCTTTTCGGAGCCAAGTCACTAGGACAGTGTGGATGGGTGGATGAGTTTTCTTAAAGAAAGCACACTGCTTCCCAGATAAGAAGGCTGGTGATTAAATGAACGCAGGGCCTCAGAGAATAGCTTGACTGTAAATAAATGGCAGGAGAATAATGCTTGTGTGTGGTCTGATGGCTGAGTGTGCTCAGCTGTGGTGGCTGCTTATCTGACCAAATGTCCAGATCAGCACTGCACAGAGAATAAATCTCCAGGGGGCGGGGATACCATGGCATGTGTGACCTGATGGGACAGTTCAGGCTTGTTTTGTCTAAGAAACAGGAGAATAGAATAGAATCTCCTAGTGCATTTACGGGTTGGGAAGTTAAAAAGGAGATTTAGGAGAAAAAAGCAAACATTTGAAAAAGAGTCAAGATGCAGGCTCATACAGAATTTTAAGTCTTCTGCAGCAGCTTTGTGGCTGGAGTGTGGCGATTCCCAGGGAGAGGCTGTTCTTACCCTCCTCTTACACTCTCCGTATTCCTGTTTGTGTTCCAGTGCTTGGGTTTTGATGTGTCTACTGCACTCAACCACTAACCCAGAGGTTAACAGATTGAGCACACCGTGGCACCACAGAAGGCAGGCCAGGTGGCCTGCTTCCGTAAAGATCACAGCTAGGAAATCCCTATGGAGCAGGTCTACTCTGTAACATGCAGGGTCACAATGAGTCGGAATTGACTAGATAGCAAACGGTGTTCAAATAGTATCTTTTAGAAGGATCAGCACAAGGCTGATCCCCATGAGGCAGAGGTTAAAGTCCTAAATGCCCAACTTTTCCAAACTGCTGTGCCACTCCATCATCTCTGACATCAATTCCCCCCCCCTCAGTACTCTGCCTCCCATCTTGGGTTCCATATTTCATTGTAATGTCTCAAAGAACTCACAACTCCCAAGGAAACGACCCACATGGAGTGGGTTGGGGTGCTGGGAGGCTGGCAAGTCCCAAGTCTGGGTAGGTCTGGAGGATTCTCTGAACTCATACGGTTGCAGGGGCTGGCAAACACAAATTGGTGGGTCAGATGATAGCTGTTGTCTCAAGTCCAGGGGTGAGATGATGATGGACCAAACACAGGACTGGAGCAAGAGAAAGAATTTTCCTAGAGCTCTGGTGGCGTAGTGCCCAAGGCATTGACTGCTAACCAGAAGGCTGGCAATTCAAACCTACCAGCTACTCCTTGGAAGGAAGACTGGGCAATCTACTTCCATAGTGATACCACTTCAGAAACCCTGCTACCCTGCTACCGGAGTAAGTTTGATTTGGTTTTAGTAGAACATTCATAAATATACTCTCAGGGAAGCTAAAGGTGGTGACTTGTATCACACCCTGCAGCAAGGTGGGACTCAGGATACATCCCACCCAACAGCCAGAGAGACTAAGATTTACAGCACATCACAAAATGGAGGGTGATGACTAGAAGGGCCACATCAAGCAATTCACTGCACTGCAAAGGGTTTGTTTTTGTTGTTTTGGAGTTGCATTGTCCTCTTTGGCGAATGGCTTGATAGTTGTCGGTGCCTGTGCAATTTCTTGTCCTCCTTTTCCCCAGATCAGCTAAAGGCCCTCCAGAAGAATTACGGCAGGCTGCAGCAGGATGTTCTCCAGTTTCAAAAGAACCAGAGCAACCTGGAGAGGAAGTTCTCCTATGACCTGTAAGTGCAACTCAGAACTGAGTGTGTGCCCCATGGGAGGCCAGTGCCTTTGAAGCTAAGGGCTCTGGGCAGAGCCCTGTGTGATGTCCACTGACCCTTCTGGTTATAGACCATGAACCACTTGGTGCACACAGGGCCCTGTGAGAAAGGTACAGCCCCTTCTAGGATTCATGACCTTTAGAAAGAATGGATTTTATTTTTTAAGTGTCAGCAACGCTCCAGGAAGCCATGGCAAAGTGTTAGTGGGCTCATAATACAAAATAAATAAGAAAGATGCGAACACACACACATACATGCACACACAACAGAGCAGTTCTTAACAGGAAGCGACTTTCTGTAAAACTGTTGTAAATTATCTCTATAAAGTGCAGGTGTACTGGTTAAGTCTGTAATCTAAAACCTTTAATAGTGTGTTCCCACAAAACTCAAAACCATGAAGGAAAAAAAAAAAAAAGGGCCACGTTTGTTGGTCTGAAAGAGCCTGGTGGAACTGCTGAGACTATGGCCCCTAGCTGCCCTTCAGGTCTGGAATTGAACCCACTCCTGTGGCTCCCAGCCAAACAAAAGACAGGCATATGAGCTGAACATTTACATTAGGTAGATACACTCCTTGGAAAGAAGAATCATGGGAGAAAGAAGGGCTGTGTGTGCACAGAGCGACAGCTCAAGGGAGGGGCAGGAGTGCACTGGAGGGAAGGACACAGGGAAGAGGTAACTGGGGAGGAAGTAGGGGGAGAGCTGTTGCATTGTGGGAAATTGCAATCAATATCATGAGACAAAGTGTATGTGAGCTGCTGTATGGAAAATGAAATTTGCTCTGTAAACTTTCACCCAACTCACAATAAAAATCTTAAAAAAAAAAAAAAAAAATGTTCCCAAAGGGCTCAGAAGTTAGCTCAGTCATAACCATAGACTAAAAGAGATTTTGGTGAAGTATTAAAATGATTTATCACTGGGTACTGACACTGTGTGTGTTTTATTTTCTGAGATGACTTAGATGTTTTTCTAAATTGTTTCACTTAGAATAGAGTTATAATCACAGCACAACAATAAACTTTTGAAAATCAAACTAGACCCATTAGTAAGATAGTTAAAATCAATTTAAAATGGAGGTAGAGAAAAGTTGTCTGTACGTAGTCTGTAGTTTTCTTTCCTTTTTTCCCCTCACAGAAACTAAAGCATGGGCTTTTTACATTCTCAGAAGCTGTCCATGAGCCCAGCCCCACACAACTGTTCTTTTCCCTTTGAGTTAACTTCACTTGGATCCATGTTTAAGTACATGTGTGTTTCTTACATAATTGTAGATGTCATAAATTTTTTGAAATCTCTTTTATTACTATAATTGTATATATAAAAAATTCCAGTGTGTTCCAGAATGTTTTATCATTAAAAATGGGTCCTTAAAAATCTATCATGTGTAAATTTTTATTAACCATGCTCTCTACTCCTTGTATATTTAAGTTGCTGCTAAGTTTTAGTTCTTATAATCTGCCTGACCCCAGTGGCATCATGTATATAACTTTAAAAATTATTACTTTATGTTATTTCCTTGCAGAAAGATTCAACTGCAGGTTTAGTGTAGAAATTGGCATTAATTGCCAGATTGCTTTCTGAAAGGAAAGGTGCAGCCCTTTCTAGGATTCATGACCTTTACCCTTCTCTCATATCACTAGCAGTGCAGGAGAAGAAGTTTCCCACACCAGCTGGCCTCATAGTGCTTCTTTGTGTTCTGCCATAAGATTGTCTTCTCACTGTAATGTCTTCCTGGTCCCTTTAAAACCAAATACAGCTAAAAACATGAAGCCTCAAATACAGAAATGTTCAAAGCACATAAAGTCAATACAAAGGAAATATAATTAGAAAGTAACCATGCAGAAGCTCATTCAACTAGGCCAGTGGTTCTCAGTGGGGGACAGTTTGGGGACATTTGGCAATGTCTGGAGATACATTTGCCATCACAACTGGGGGAGAGGGGTGCTCCTGGCCTCTAATGGGTAGAGGCTAGGGATGCTGCTGAACACCCTACAGTGCACAGGACAGCCCTCACAACAGACTGGTCCGAAACATCCATCGCGCTAGGCTGAGAAATCCTTAGTTAGGCTTATCGTCAAAGCCATGTATTCAGGCAGAAATGAAGCACCCCAGTCTTATTATTCATCCTTAAAAGACACTTTAACACAAATATTTCCCTTCAATTGACTGAACTATGTTGTTGTTGTTGTTGTTAAGTGCCGTCGAGTCGTTTCCGACTCATAGCGACCCCATGCACAGCAGAACGAAACACTGCCCGATCCCGCACCAGCCCCA